ACCTTTAGCACAATCATTAAGATCATCATCATTATTATCATTATCATTAGTAGTAGTAGAAGTAGCAGTAATACTATTTTATCATTATCAATATTATCATTATTATCATTAGTATCATTATTGAAAGTATGAGTGTTTTTTTATTATTATAATCATTATCATTGTTATCGGTAATATCATTAGCATTATTATTTCATTATTATAATTACCACTATCATATTTGGAAAGATCAGTATCATAATTTTCATCGGTAATTTCCAAAGCAATTAAAAGGCCTCCATTTTTTCTCTCATATTCTTATCATCATTATCAACTTAATGCGGTTGCCAAATTATCAGCATCTCTCTTCCCTTTTTCTCTCTGTCTGCTCTTTCTATTTATCCACCTATCTATTTATCTTCCTTGAAATTATCACAGCATCTTGTCATTATTATCATCATTAATGTCTTTCTGACCATCACAATTACTCCTTTTTTGGAGAGTGTCTGTTCAAATATTAAGCCTGATTTCACATTCACCCTCTTTAAAATAACCAAATAGATAACCCCCCAAAATAAATAAAATGAATAAATAAAGAATAAATAAATTTGAAAAAACGTGAAATTGAAAAAGACACTAAAGTCTGCGGATTATGAGGTTTATGTCCTGCATCTTTACTGTTATTATTATATTGTTATTATTATTATCATTATTATTATCATTGTTATCATTATCATTATCATTATTATTATTATTACATTATCAACTTTATTATATTTTTTTATTTCATCTTATTTTTTAAAAGAAAGATGTTTCTGTGAAATTAAATGATATTGGTTAGTGGATTTTAGATGTGAAATTAAATGAATTAGATGAAATGTCGTGAAAATCTAGGGAAGATTAAATTCAGTAAAACAGAAATAAGTCTATGACGTAAATTTTATTATTACTGATTCTGTTGTTATCATTTTTAGCATCAATATTTTTTTTCTTCTCATTTTTCGTCATTATAATAACAAGATAATAATTACTATGGTCATAACTGCCACTCCTTTTTATCATAAACTTTGTTCTTATTATCATTTCCGCATTTTTTCCTCTTCACTCCAATGACATCCTGATATTCCAAACCATCATTATTTCATATTCCGTCGCCTCTTTTCTCTCTTGATATGATGGAAAAATATATACATATACTGTGGCAGAGCGTGGTTTCGATCCACGGTCCTCCGGGTTAAGAGCCCGGCGCGCTTCCACTGCGACACCCTGCTCATTTGCATAATTGGAAGGAACTCAATTTATAGTTCAGATAGCGTTGTTATCGTTAGTTTCTGAGATTATTGCTAAATTCATGTCTTTAACATTGTTTTGGATGGTGCCATGTTTATTATGGTTATCAGTATCAAATATAGTTACACATTTCATTCCTTCCTTTTTTCATTTCCTTGTGGTAATGTTACAACCATGGATATTGGCATTGTTATCATCATTATTAATCATCATCATCATAATTATTATCATTTTACTACTACTACTGTTTCTACTCTTATCACTATTATTTTGCTTTTATAGTTGTTATTAATAAAGGAAACTTGGCTCTCTCGCAGTCAGCTCTTTAAGGCCTGCAGAAACCACTGGATTGACTTCTCTTAAACAGTGTAATGTTGATGAAACACGGGTTTCAGTGATTTTCTAAATAACATTATCATCATCAATACTGGCATTTTAATACCGTATTCGTGGATATTCATAACAAAATACAATTTCAAACTTATACTATTGCTAATTATTCTCTTCTCTTCTTTCTATCGTTTATTTAATTGTTTTTTTTTCTTCAATTAACCCATTCATCTTTTTTTTTCTCTCTCTGCCTCATTCTCTAGGCTCTCTGTTCACGTTACTGTATGTCTGTCTGTCTTTGTGTCGACGTAGTTTTGTTTTGAAAAACGACTTCTACGTTACTCTTTACAGACCTTCGGAAATTATGTAGAACTATGAAGATATAGTATGTATGCCATGACACAAATACTTTGGTGTTTTCAAAATGAACATTACAAAAAATTATAATTTGCATATTAAATCATTATTTAAGACATTTCCTGACATTGAGGTTTAAACCCGTCTCCATGATCAAAACTCTGAAATTCTCAACTATTTTATAGTTTAAAAATCAATTATAATTACTATTTATTCTTTATTATTATTATTGTTTTAAATAGATGCTGAATATTATAATTAAATTAATTATATATATAATTACATACTGCATATAAATCGGTCAAGATGTTTCATTGTAGCGTTTAGGCATGAAATTTCAAATTCAAAACTCTTTCTTCTAATAGTTATAACAGAGTGGTATAGGATAAAATATTTACGTCATAACAAACTAAGGTACATTTTTAGCCTCGTATTTAAATGCCTAATGTCACTGACAATTTAGAGGATGCTCCTTTAATTTCGTCCTGAAAGTGATGTCGGTGAGGTAGGTAGTTCCAGATCTCGGCTCCTCAGGTTTGCGATTGTCTTGACCCTGTTTCCGCATACGATGTTTTGACGTATAGAGTTAAATCTGTCGTGCTTGAACACCTGCTATGTTACCTGCTGCTTATATGAATTTATGAGTGTATATATGCGTCTTGTTTACCTTTTTAAAAAAATTAAAGCATTTTAGTTTGTTTATTTGTCAGATTTATTTATATTGTCAATTGCTGCTGTTGCAAAAAATAAAAAATAAATAAAAATGCAATTGAACACCATGTATTGGATTATTAGTTTGTAAGGCACAGAGCAAATAACTGCATGTCAAAGGTCATATATCAGTGTTTGTGTTCTCCTAGATTTTTAACTGAATGATTGTTTTGATATGAGAGCCCTCAGGATTTAGATTAAGGCCACTGTTAACTGTATATCTGTTTGTGTCTGTATCTACGTAATTTTGTTTTGAAATACAGCTTCTATGTTAATGAATTCTTACAGACATTTTGAAAGTATGAAAATACAGCATGTGTACCATGATATAAAGCCTTTACGATAAATAAAATACATAATGGACACTTAATCTCCTATATCCTACCCATTTTTTTCCTTTTCATTTCTCTCTCTCTTCTTCTCTCTCCTTTTCTCTCCCTTTTCTGTTTCTTCCGTTGTTCCTTCTTCGCCTTGTTTTGTCTACTTATCTTGCTTCCCTTTTCTATTTCTCCTTTCCCGTTCTCTCACCTTCGTGTCTCTCTTTTACTCTTGGTTTTTAAACATGGACTTTATTGAATTTTATATATGAATTAGACAATAAAAATAATGAAATGTTGATGAAAAAATAAATCAGAGATAATAGACATAAGATTAAGGTACCTGACTATTCTCTATATGAATTTATAAATTTTAAACATGTATGTTGACTTTTTTTTTTTTACTGTAAACCGTTTATTCATATTATCTATTGCTACTCTGCTATTCTTACGACAAAGTTTTGCATTTTTTTGTGATTCTCTTTTTTGAGTGTTTGTGTTTGAACGCCATATGTTGGAACAGTAGTTTTGTAATGCAGAGAGCAAAGGTCTATACAACAGCAATTTTCGCTCTGGTAGGATTTTTTGTATATAATTTTGGTATACCATTGTACTCATTGTCTCTCAGAGGTCCTATATCAGTGTTTGTATACTCCTAGATTTTTCACTGAATACTTGCTTTGATATGACAGCCCTCAGAATTTAATTTAAGGCCACGCTGATTTCTTTGATTATATATATATTTTTTAACGAATTTTGAATGACTTCTGTCTTGTGGACGAGTAACCAATAGTTATCGGTGCCAAGATATTTCTTTTTGTTAGGAAGGATTTCATTACTGGTACTGTCGATGGTAGATCACACAATATAAATAGATTTATTTTATTTTTTATTATTTTTCATTTTATTTATTTGTTTATTTATTCTATTCTTTTTTAGCGAATTTAAAAACGCTGTTTCAGTGAACAACTTCCTTCAAAACTCCCGTTACGTTTCAGATATAAGGAGCCTTTTTAACTGCATCCTCCCACAGCCTGAAGATGGACCCAGGAAACTTCCACCAGAAAAAGTTGAATGACTCATTGAATCGAACTTCAATATATGCGAGTGAATGAGTGTGTGTGTGTGTGTGTGTGGGGGGGGTAAGCGTGAGTGTGCGTGCGTGCGCGAGTGCTTGCGTTCGTGTGTCTATGTAAACTTCCATCAAAAAAAATAAAAGCTTTACTGAGGCTGACATATTTCCTGCAGCGTAAGACGACTTAGACAATGGTTATTTGGATGATGGTCCCACAGGTGACTGGTTCCCGGATGTAGTTTTAAGTCCATTGCAGCTCGGAGCTCCAGATTGGCCAGTGTTACCTAGTGCATAGTTAAGTCAAAATGGCTTTTACAGTATGCAGGTAATTGCAGTGAATGAAAGGGTCCTTGTCCTCAGCTGATTTCCTTTTTTGGGACTTTTCAGGATAAATGTATTTTTTTCTAATGCTATCAATACCGATGTTGTAATTATTATTGCTGACATTATGATTATTAAAACTTTATTAACAATACTAATAACAGTAAAGAATAAAACAGAATCTCTCTGAAAAAAGGTAAACATGTGACTCCTTGGTGATAAAGCACTGGTGGAGCCATCTATTATTTTTCCTTCAGTGAATAATGGGGTTAATATATACACGTTGTTATGAGACTGACACAGGATATTTTAATCTATTTATTTTTATTCTCGTACCAGTTTTATTTTATAAACTTCATCACAATTATAGCTCATTGAATGAATTCCGAGTTATCATTACTATTACCATTTTATCACAATCAATGATACTACTGTTACCATTATCACAATAATTCAACCATTAGTATTACCGTTGTTATATTATCAATATTAATTAACATATTAAAGTAGTTTTCATCATCATTTCTTCTACTATACATATCTAACCATTTTTTTTATAATTGCTTTAACTCCAATTAGAATTTTAAAACACAAAATAAGGGTAAATGATACAAACAAAATGTATTTAACATTATTTACTTATCAGTCAGGGAAAATTTAATAAATATACAGTGACATTTCATACATTACAACACATACGAAAAGGGTTAAAGATACATAAATACAAACTATGCTATACAAAAGAAACAATTAAAGGAAACGAAATAAAAAATAACGTTGAGGTTTGTTTTTGTGGTAATACATTGAGGGGACTTGTAACCTATTTAGTATTTATCATTATTATTATCTTTTTAAAAATAACTGTCATAACTCAAAACATGAAAAAAAATAATAACCACAAGATTGCCACCAAAAAATGGCATCTTGTTATTTAGTTTTTTTTTATATTCTCATTTCTTAAAGAAATTTTTTGGTGACACTCGTTAAAGGAAAAAGATTGACTGAGGAGTGGATAATTAGCTGACCATTCTTTGGCATCACTGCTCGAGGCGCCAAGAAAATATATTCAATATATCTCTATATTTCTTTTGACGAATATATAACTAGTTTTGTAACAAGAGGAAACGACCCCCCCTCTCCTTTCTTTCTTTTAAAGAAACCAAAAAAAAATTAGACTGGGGTCTCTCATTCATTTATTCACCTGTTTTTTTTCAATTATCACATAGTTTTTTTTATTATTATTATTACCTAGAAAACAATCGCTATTTGCGTTGCCCCCGCCTGAGCAACTCCCCTGATTGTTCCGAATGCACGCTGATACAATCACAATCAATAAACTTTTTTGTATACAAATGACACGACTTTGATAGTCCACTCATTATCATCATCACCAGAGATTGTTCACAAGAGGACTAGTTGTTCACAGTGCCAGGGCTAGTTCCGTTATTCCAACAAGTGAACATGTGTTGAACTAAGCTCTCGCCAAAGACACCGTCCGAACACACATAACTGCAGATGCGCATTTCTTTTATTCGCTTTTTTTTGGAATTCATCTGTAACTAAAATAGACTATGTAATAAGATAAAATTCATATTCTGTCAGTCTATCTAAAGTTTAACATAGATGTGACGTTCCTGACATCCTCCCTAAAGTCTATCATTATATCTAAAAAAATGTCAACTGCATTTTTTTTCCCCACATTCAATGGCATCTTCTTGAGCACTTCTTTTAGATTCTCGAAACGAAGATCAAAGAAAGATCTGAAGTATTGGGATAAACATTCATAAGTTCAATGACACGCTCGGTATTCAATTCAAAGAAGAATCGAATTCCTTGATTATATTAACGAAAAAAAAAGAAAAGAAAAGAATAGTCTTTAAATATTTCCTTTACGAAACGTTCTCCCAACAAGAACATTTTAACCAAGCTGATAAAAGTTAAAAAGGAAATAGCTTAAGCGTGATCGATTTTCGCGTCAAATACTTCAGATCTTTATTTTCTCTTCAATATATTCCCTCGAAAGTATTCCTTTGCAATCTTAAAACGAGTTATATTTATTGCGTTATGATTATCCAAAAATGCATTTAAAATCTTTTACATAACGGGGTACAAACACAACGAAAAATAAAATAATAAATTACGGATATTTCCTTCCATTTTTTTCCACATCAGACACTCCTATCTTTCTTTTCTCTCTCTCTGTTATTCCTTTTCTTTCTCGAATGAAAACGCAATAATTTCATGACTATTAATATCGTTCTCATTTTTTTTTTCGGTGAGGCTGACATACTTCATGATAAAACCACACTGCCCAATCGGTCCGCACTTCCCTTGGTTTTAACACTGAATTTTCCCTTGCATTACATTCTTTCACTACAAAGAACATAATCTAGCAAAATATACAGGAGACCCAAGGATGAAACAACACAGTTAAGAGGTAACGAGGATCTACAAAGATATGACTTGAGTTATAAAAAGATACATCTTTGGTATATCTTTGGTAAGGCTTAATGAGAGATATGTTAGGCTATCACAGAGCCAATATAAGGCTGAGTTTCACAAGAGAAATTCCTATTTAAACGTGTTTCATTAACCCTAGAGTAGAAGTTGTTTGAAAGTATCATTTTTATATGTATAAATAATATATCGAGATATATTTTTAGCATAAAACAATATAATTTTAATCCCTTTTGATGTCTTGCAGTAATATACCAATATCTTCACGGAAAAGATACTGACATATACAACATTGCATCACCACACAATGCATAAAATGTTATTCCAAAACTCAAGATAACACCAGAATAAAATAACAGTTTTGATAAGTGTGACGTAACTTTTTTTTTTTAAACCCAGAATCACTAAATATAAAAAGGGGCAACCTTAACCGCTGCCTGTTGCATAGCCCTTAAAGTCACAAACAATACCGAGTTTAAAGCCAATAACAAACTCTTAAATAGGAATAACCAGGAAAGACTGGGGGGGAGAAAATTAACAGCGTTTGATACTATATACTGATGTACTTTCTTCAGATTTGACTGGTGTGATGAACGAGGTTTGTTCGGAATTGTAAGTAGTGTTAGAAGGTGATATGGATGGATTTTATGGTACAGACCCGCCAGGACTAAGATGCTGGGACGTGCCTGCTAGAATGGTGGGTTTAGATGAAGCGCGCGTGTGTGTATGTGTGAAGAAGGAAGAGGAGATACGAGTGAGGAAGAGAAGGAAGAGAGTGAGAGAGAAGGAGAAAGTGAGAGAAAAGAGGAAAAGAGGAAAAGAGAGACGTGAGAAAATGATATACATATCTATCACTTGAGGGACCATTAGTTTTGATACTGTGTGTGAATGTATGTTGAATGGATCTTGTAGAAGTTGGAGTGACAAGTGAAAAGGGTATTTTTATATGAGAAGATCTACTTATTCAGCAGAGAAGATCCTGAAGAAGAGGAGGGCACGGGCCACACCTACGTTGACTGCAACTATAGTACTATACACAGCATAGGGCACATTGGATGACTTTGCTGGAGGGCAAAATCTCTTGAAGGAGGTCAACACTGTACTAGTAAATAATGTGTTTTTTTTCTCATACTATAACCACTTATTACTAAATACAGTCCTCAGTCACTTTACATTCATAAAATAGGATGATTCATCTGTAAACACCATTGTTTATAAAATAATATCATATATATATCTATATATATATCTGATTTCTCCACCCAAAGGGCTGCAACATATAACACGTTGCAAAACACCTCGGATGCTCTAAACCAAGTTACATAGGTATTTCTTCCACTCCCGTCGACCAGCACACCTTCCACGGTCTTCAAAAGGAGGAATTACACACCGCAAGGAAAAAAAACCTTCTATCTTGCGTGAGACTGGAGACTGGAAACAATGTTGCGAGGGATAGAATGAAAAAAGAGTATCTGTCGGTCTCCTAATAAAAAAAAAAGTTTCTTTCTCCTAATCGAAAAAAAATCTCTCTGTTTCTCCTAATCTCCGTGTCTAATCTATCTGTCTGTCTCCCATTCGAAAAAACAAACAAACCTATCCCTCTGTCTCCTAGTCTAAAAAAAAAAACAAAAAAACAATCGTGTCTCTCTCTCTCTCTCGTCTCCTACATCGATCCTACGACCTTATAGGATTGGCGGTAAGAAAGTGCCTGAATCGTCGAGGGAATTCTCCGTGGAGGTGCCGTCCTGGTTGCCGTTGGAGGAGGAGGCGGCAGCCGCAGGGTTCGAATTGGCGGTCGACGAACTGCTGTCGTTCTTGGCGCCGGACTCAGCCGCGAGGGCGCAGTTGTCCCGGTGGCGCTTGCCTTTGTATACCTGCAGAAAGGGGGGCGGGGTTAGGCGAGTCGGCTTGGATAACGGTCTGTTTGAATTTGTGGGATTTTGTGGGATATGTTAGTTAAAGATATGGCTGGCGGTCTATTTGAATCTCGATTTTATGGGATATGTTAGAGAAAGATATGGCTGGCTGTTAGGTTGGATAACGGTCTATTTGAATCTCGATTTTATGGGATATGTTAATGAATGATATGGTTGGCTGTCGGCTTGGATAACGGTCTGTTTGAATTTGGGGGATTTTGTGGGATATGTTAGTTAAAGATATGGCTGGCTGTCAGGTTGGATAACGGTTTATTAGAATCTCGATTTTATAGGACATCTTAGTTAAGGATATGGCTGGCTGTGAATTGAATTTGTGGGATTTTATGGGATATGTTAGTTAAAGAGATGGTTGGCTGTCAGCTTGGATAACGGTTTATTTCATTAGAATTTTGGGTTTATTTGATCCGTCAGTGAGAGATATGGTAGACTATCAAGCAACCAATGTAAGGCTGAGTTTTACAAGAGTAATTCAAATTTTGACTTGTTTTCTTAACCCTAGAGTAGAAGTTAAAGTTAAATATAAATCATAAGGATATAATACAAATCTAAACGATAAGGAATTTATAATCTTAGCTTCATGAATATAAATAACATGTACTTTTTGGTATGAATTTCTGCTAAAAACATGCACTCTTTCGTTAGAAAGAATGTATAAAATATGTGCATTAAAAAAAAAATGACCCAAAGACTAAAGAACATGTAAATTTTGATAACACATTCACCCTGTAGCTAAAGTAAAAAACATTCAACATTTCCAAACTTAAGTTGTGTTGCATAAAGAAAATCTACTTTCTGCAACAATCTATGACTTATTGATAAACATTATATCTTTGTTACATGTTACTTATACTTATCTAGAGTTTTATT